GGATAAGTGCCTCAATGTTAGTGGAAATTATGTTGGGGAAAAAAGGAACAGTGTTTGTGTAAAAATAAACGGTTTTTAATTGGTTTACAAGCAACCATTAGTGACTTTACTGACTTACTCTCGTATGTATTAGAAATAACTGACAGGACAGAAAAGGCAAGGCTGTTGACAATAATGGTTACCAACACCACAGGCTTTATATGAAGGTGAACTATCTTGTTGAAATCCTTTGCAGATTTCCACCTTCCAGCTTGGTGCAATTTCATGCTTAAGATGTCAATATAACGTCAAAAGGATCGACTTCATTTCTCATGGATGAATGGGTTAATGAACGGATGGATGGATTGCTGAATAAATTATCTAGTATACATTTGTAAACAATTTTAAACACGTTCTATATTTTGTGTCCTTTAATGTGCTTTCACAGGTTTCTCAAGGCCTATATTTTTTTTTTTTTTTTTAATTGTAATTTTGCAATTATTTTTTTTTTTTTAAATCAGTGTTCCGTTATATGCTATAATGAACCGTTTAAGTTGCTTTGAGTATGATATCCTGTACTCGTGAATTTTCTTGTTTAACTTCTTCACTGTTTGACTGTAAGCTCCGGCGGAAAGTCCTAGGTGTTCGTCCATTAGAACTTTGTCTTTGTGCCGAGGTCTAAGTTTTGTGTATACATCCGTTTTATTGGCATATATGTGGACAACTTGTTGTTCCTAGCCCTCGGACAGATGTACTCAGACTTCTAAGGAAGCCCCCCCCCCCCCTCCTTCCTTTCCCAGTTAGTCCACCCCTACGACATGCTTGTTGGGTAGGTAGTGGCTCTATTCTTGTTTTTCCCACAATGTGGCCCCAGAACCCACACGAAGATCTTGTCAAACAGATTTATGCAACTATTTACTTGAGACTGTTTATCAGAAACTCCAAGATCTTTATTTTTATTTATATTTTTTTTTTCTGGACTAATTAAACAAATCTATATTTGCCTTCTGTGTTGTGTTGAAACGTGTATATATGCTAATTGTGATCAATGAAGGTCACCCCTGGAGAATGGAGGATGGCAGGGTCCTTAAGGACATCCTTTATGGTGAATTAAAGACAGATGAAGATGTCGAAGCCGACCTGTACTACGGTGTAAAGATATGTGCAAGTGGGACATCAATAATACATGTATTGAGGTGGACTCACAGGAACTAAATGCCATGGACCGTCTTGTGTGTAAAGGGCATATCAGGAAGGGAGTGAAAGAAGAAATGACTGCAGAAAGGATGAGTGCTGAACGTCTGAAAAGAAATGCTCATGCTCTCATTGTGGAAGACTTTTCTTGACACGGGCAGGTCTTGCTAGTCACACTCGCCATCGCCATGGGCTGTCAGTCCCATGCCTCCTCATGGCACAATATAACACTATCGTCTGGAAAGACGGAAAGGGGCCAATCAAGATCAATAAAGTACATAAGAGACTCGTGCAATGGGGTTTCCTTTACTATTACTATTAATATTATTTTATTATTTTTTGAAAAGCAAGTACATATAATTAATATTTTAAAAACATAGGAGTATAAAAGGTTGGTTGCGTATCCTTTACAGGACGTCGCCGAACCAACCCCAGCATTTCTTGGCTGTTGTGGTATTTCTAGGCAAATTCACGTCCAGTAGTTTGCCATTGCTTACTAAACGGTCGGCTTCTTGATACCACTAGCAAAACCAACGCAAGGCGCAAAGTCCGCAGCCGGGATCGAACCCGGCATTAGGAAGCGCATTCACAATGCCTAATCCACAGACGAATAAACAAAATATATAAAAAGCCAACTTCTATACGTGCTTAGTGTGGCCACTCACGCCTTGCAAATTTTCTGTGTTGTAGCAATGCGAAGCACAGCCTGCCTCTTAAACTATATTTCCGGCGTTTCTGGCTGATGGTTTTATAGAGCCTTATTTGTTTTATGTAGTTGCCGATCCTTTTCTGGGACTCCTAAGTCGATCCAGCATTGACCGGCTGTTGCCTGGTTTTAGGCTGCAATGTTACATTGCCGAAGTTTCATTCATTCATTGTCCTGATATGTCCTTTTGTGTCACACAGGCCTGGCTGTCAGTTCCTCAAGTCCTTGATATCCTGTGCAATCTTTTCTACATCACGGATGGCGACAAGTTCAGTATTTTTGGACTTTTTTCACTGTTTTCGTTTAAGAGTTTTTTTTGAATGTCTTCTCTTTTTCAGTCTCTTTAATTCTAATTGTAATGCCTGTCTGGTGATTCTCTTCTCGCTTCTTCTAGTGATATGTTCAGTACAGCACCATCTTATTTGTCTCATAACTGTCCAAATATTTCTCTCATTTCTTCAATCTTCTTGAATCCATCTCCGTGGGGGTTTTTTTTTTTTTTTTGTCGACAACTGAGACAGTATGGATTTATTGAACTTAACTGTTACAGGGAGATCTTATAAGTCTCATTGACCAACATGAGATCTCCACGATCTGGGTGTCGAGCGCTGCTGGCTAGTAAAAGGTGATAAACGTCATCGGGGGTTAAAGAGAACAGTCAGGGCGGTGCTGCTCTTGGAAGAAGAGGCCGCGGGCGACCGGTACAACTGTGAACAAGATATCGTTGACACTCTGATCATAAGAGTGAACACAATGATAGTGACACTCTAAGAATGAGAGTGGATATGTCAACGACACTTTGGGCATGACAGTGAAAATAATGTCGGTGACACTCTGGGGATGAGAGTGAACATGATGTCAATGACAATATGGGCATGAGAGTTAACATAATGTCAATTACGCTTTGGGCATGAGAGTTAACATAATGTCAATGACGCTTTGGGCATGAGAGTTAACATAATGTCAATGACACTCTGGGCATGAGAGTTAACATAATGTCAGTGACACTCTGGGCATAAATGTGAACATGATGTCAATGACACTTTGGGCATAAGAGTCAATGTGATGTCAATGACACTGGAGATATGAGAGTTCGCGGGACAGGTTTGACACCGTGAGATTTAAAAATCTCAGGCCTGGCCTGGTAGAAGATTAAGAGGGCCAGCCAAGATAACCAAATTCGAGCTTTAAGGAAGTTATAATTAAAGCACCAGTAACGCCCATACCTGCCAGGTGCAATGTAACTCAAAGTTTTGCCTTGTCAAGGATGCTGGCTATAACCAGCATGACGTAATGACAGTGAGATATATCACATAAGGATGTTGTCTCTGACCAGCGTTACATAATTAAAGTGAGGTTTATGGGATAAGGATGCTGTCTGTGACCAGAGTGACGTAATGACAGTGAGGTTTATCACATACGGATGTTGTCTAAAGCGAGCATGATTTCAATAACACTCTGGGCACGACAAGGGTCATGATATCAATAACACTCTGGTCATAACAATAGGCATGATATCAATAACACTCTGGTCATAACAATAGGCATGATATCAATAACACTCTGGTCATAACAATAGGCATGATATCAATAACACTCTGGGCATGAAAGTGGGCATTATATCAATAACACTCTGGTCATGAAAATAGGCATGATATCAATAACTCTCTGGTCATAACAATAGGCATGATATCAATAACACTCTGGGCATGAAAGTGGGCATTATATCAATAACACTCTGGGCATGACAAGGGTCATGATATCAATAACACTCTGGTCATGACAACAGGCATGATATCAATAACACTCTGGTCATAACAATAGGCATGATATCAATAACACTCTGGTCATAACAATGGGCATGATATCAATAACACTCTGGTCATAACAATAGGCATGATATCAATAACACTCTGGTCATGACAGTGGGTAGGATATCAATAACACTTTGGTCATGACAGTGGGTATGATATCAATAACACTCTAGGCATGACAGGTTGCACGCCAAATGTCCCAATCTTACACCGAACTGTTACTGAGTTAGAGATTTTTAATGTTGGGCAAGACTTGTGTAACAGACTATAGCCGACCCTTGGGCGACACGGTGGACACGTAGCCATGGTTACACGCCTCGATGACGAAGTCTACTAAATTTATCGTTCAATGAGGCATCCAAGGCCTAGTTTCTTTAAGTTAGAACCAGGGCCTTGTTTCTGTTGCAAAAAATCACTTTTTGGTCAGAGCTCTAGATAGCAAGGTGAGTGTTTGACGGTCAACATGGATTCTGGTTTTAATATACATTAATGTCAAGTTTTCAATGGTGTGTAATATATAACGGTGCTATTATTACTATTAAATATACTACTACCACGACTATTGTTGTTGATCTATTTATCTATCTATCTATCTATCTATCTATATTCCTGTCTGTCTGTCCGTCCGTCTGTCTATCTGTCTGCCTGTCTATATATGCCAGTCTTTCTGTTTTTTGTGTCTGTCGATTTTTTTTTCGTCTGTCTGTCTGCTTCTATTTAACCAATCGCACATTCATTCATCTATCTACTCATTCATTGGTTAAAACATCTACCTCTCTACCTGTATCTTCTGTTATTTTGTATCTTAATTTTATTCCTTTATACACTCTGCTATGCATCCAACTATCCAGCCATTCAGAGTTACACACATACAATCCATTGATCCAGTAATCGGTCTAGCCATACATCCATCAATACATGAGCCAGTAGAATTAGTCATATATCAAATCATCTGTGCAACCATCTATTCACACACCATTTAACAAACCACCCAGCCACAGCCCATTCAGCCATCCACCCAGCCATCTTTGATTTCGTCCATCCAACTATCATCTGTCTATCCCTCTATCCATCAGTCAATATGTCTGTCGATGGGTCACTTAGTTTGTCTATCGTTATATATTTTGTTTGCTTATCTCTCAGTCCCATTTTGTCAGTTTAAAAAAGAATTATCTTACAAATAATCTTACTTTAATTAACAGTTAATGCCGAATATTTGTCAGTTCTGTCTTTCTCAGCCTCTCTTACCTACTATTTTGAAAATACATTGACATATTCCAAAGCCAGACATCACCTAAAGTAACAAGATGCAGCTTTCCACCACAAGCCTGATTATACTGTTAACTGGAGCATCATGTGTCTTACAGGCAACATGTTCCATCTGCCCCTACAATACAACGGTAAGTAGATAGACATTAGATCTATACTAGACTTGATAATTGTGAACTGTATGAAATTACGGCAAGCAATATGAACGCTTTGTAGTAAAACCAACTAAATGACAGAGATTCAAGAGGTGAAGAAAGGGTTCTGGTGTTGGATAGGACACCGAAAGATAAAATAAACAGATGTCTTTTGCACTGCACCTACAGAGATAGAGTAGTAATGGCATGCCAGAAACACACGAGGAAGGGATCCAGAGAACGAAGTTGGAAAGATATGGAAGCTTGGGGGTAAGTCGCATGCGAAAGCAAAGGAAGGGATGACTTGAAGTCAGTTGGCTGAGGGCCTATGCTGCACTGGAATAAAAGGCAGACGAAAAAATGCGGCAGAAGAAGAAAAAGAAGAAGAAGAAGAAGAAGAAGAAGAAGAAAAAGAAGAAGAAGAAGAAGAAGAAGAAGAAGAAGAAGAAGAAGAAGAAGAAGAAGAAGAAGAAGAAGAAGAAGAAGAAGAAGAAGAAGAAGAAGAAGATAAAGAAGAAAAAGAAGAAAAAAGAAGAAGAAGAGGAGGAGGAACAAAAGGAGGTGGAGAATAAGGAAGAGGAAGTTCAGCTGAAAAGTTAGCTGCAATCATTTTTCCTTATGCACATTCCATTCATACATCCCCCACCCCTTTATTTTTCATTCAGGCAATACAGCCCATGACATTATTGTCCTGTAAATCCACCCAAATACCTGTATCATTCATGCCTCGCCTGGATACATCTCAGTAGAGGCCGACCCTAATATCCTCTGCACATCCGTAACGTCACGTCATCTCCATATGCGATATCTTTAGGAACACTAAGATCCTCTATTATCCAAGTGTGTTCTGACATCTGTACTTGCGAAGACTGCAGCTGTCTAGTCAGTATCTATCAACTATTGCAGTGTATAAGTCAAGTTTTCAAGCCTGAAAAACAAAATCTTCTTCTTCTTCTTTATCATCGAGTTCACCAGCTGTAAACACGAGGGAAAGTTCTGGATGTTTATCCACTTCTGGACTGCAGTCCTGTTCCAGAACCTGAGTGTTGCTTGTGCATTCGCTTAATAGATCTAATTTATATGCAGACTGTTGGTTTCTTGCCTCTCAGGCAAATGCACTCCGACTTCGAAGGAAGCTCCCAATTAGTCGACTCTTACGACATGCTTTAGGGTAGGCAGTGGGTCTATTCTTGTTTTCCCTATAATAGGGCCCCGGGACCCACACAGGGACCTAAATGTCAACTTCTGGCGTGTATAAAATGCGTTAGGGATGTATAAGCTAGAATCCGAGTTTTGAGCTAAACATCTTAACGTCTACTCCTACGCCAGGTCGACTTGTGCGTCTTAGTTAAAATATTGGCATCGTCTATCTTCTCTTCGTAATGCCAGAATGCCGGGTTGGATCCCAGCGGCGGGGCATGCGCCCTGCGTTGGTTTCGACAGCTAGAAAAATCACACAACAGCAAGGAGCTCTTGGGGTTGGTTCTACAATGTCCTGAAATGGATACGCAACTAACCTATCTTCTCAGATGGTTACTTGTGGATGTGGGTCATGAACTTTTACTCAGTCATTTAACAGCTGGATCAGGAAAAACAAGAGAAACTTTCTTCATGGACATAAACAACATATGTCTCAAATAGCTGAAAGTTGTTTTGCCAAGTTAAACGTCATGGTGGAAGATACAGTTTTATTGGCTTTGGAAGTACGTAAGGTTAGAAAATTGGCTAGAGAAAGAAAGATTTTCTATCATACCGTGACGAAACCGACGTTCTGAAGATGGTACCTGATGACTGTATTACATCGCATTTTGGTAGTCTGATTGACTCACCGACAAAGAATTCTGGAGCTCAGTCCACAACGGCTGAATTTACTTTTACCATCTGGTAACTAAAAGTCAACTTGGTCGTCCCGGACTCAGATGGATAGCAGGTATGATCCTGGGAAGTAAAGGCGGTCAGTGTAATGTCGACCACATATACGATTGGTCTATGCAAGAATAAGTCTACTAATGCACAATGTGACACTGGCGTGAACAGTTTCCTTGCATGTCCAAACATTTATCCCATGCTCTCAAAGAACTGCCGCTTACAAAACTGATTGCCCACGTAATAACTTCTCCAGAGGTTGAAGGGGGTACTTGGGATTTACCATTTTGATTTGCTATTTGGGTGGGCGAACCTTCGGGTTGTAGCCAGGAGGAGAAAACAGACGAAAATATGTTCACTTTTGTTCCTCCTTTTTCTTGTCTCTTTTTCCATCTCCTTATTTTTTCTTTTTTTCTAGTCACCTCATGGACGCGTTGAGGATAATGTTCGGTACACGCAGGAGTGCGATCAAATGAAAGAACGGATTTGTGTGTGTGTGTGTCTACAAAAGAGATAGCTGCAGAAACACTACTCGTGGACAAAGAAGCTGCAGAAACACTACTAGTGGACAAAGGAGCTGTAGAAGCACTACTAGTGAACAAAGAAGCTGTAGAAACACTACTAGTGGAAAAAGAAGCTGCAGAAACACTACTAGTGGACAAAGAAGCTGCAGAAACACTACTAGTGGACAAAGGAGCTGCAGAGACACTACTAGTGGACAAAGGAGCTGCAGAAACACTACTAGTGGACAAAGGAGCTGTAGAAACACTACTAGTGGACAAAGGAGCTGCAGAAACACTACTAGTGACAAAGAAGCTGTAGAAACACTACTAGTGGACAAAGGAGCTGCAGAAACACTACTAGTGGACAAAGGAGCTGCAGAAACACTACTAGTGGACAAAGGAGCTGCAGAAACACTACTAGTGGACAAAGGAGCTGCAGAAACACTACTAGTGGACAAAGGAGCTGTAGAAACACTACTAGTGGACAAAGGAGCTGCAGAAACACTACTAGTTGACAAAGAAGCTGTAGAAACACTACTAGTGGACAAAGGAGCTGCAGAAAACACTACTAGTGGACAAAGGAGCTGCAGAAACACTACTAGTTGACAAAGAAGCTGTAGAAACACTACTAGTGGACAAAGAAGCTGCAGAAACACTACTAGTGCACAAAGGAGACATTTTGAATACCATTTATGAACGAATTTTGATGGAATACAAGAGGTTAAATGAAATAAGGTAGGCAAGAATGTCTGAACGAGGACTTAAGTGTGGATCAAGCAAGCAGGCACGCATGAGAGGGAGAGAGAACCACGAGTTCACAATCAGTAGGCTACGGGAATATTTAATATCTATATCTTCTACACCCTAAGAAATTTGCCGCCGGAGACAGAGCACCTATGAGTATGGCCGGTGTGCTATGATGTATATTCTTAAATCAGTATATCAGTGCTGGGAGGACATCAAAACGATTATCATTACTTACCTGTTTTCTGTTGATCTATAGCTGTGTCGCTGCCATCATGATTTCATATCCTGCACTGGCCTGCAGTCCATGCCACGGCTGTACACGGGCCCCGAGGTGATGAATGTTACCGTTATAGATATTCAGGTGAGTATAATATGTGTGACATGATTTGTGTGTAGACGTCGTTCGCTGTAATGCTAAAGACATTTTGCATATTAATTAGAGATGATGTGGAAGATGTCGAAATTTTTATTTCAAGAATCGCGCCAACGCTGGACATATGAAAGGTATAATGACAGAAATTAATTAACAAAAGATGCGTTTATAGAAATGAACTAAAAAAATATATCTGTTTACATACAGCAGGTAAATACAGTGCTCATTCTTTGAGCGAGTCACAAGGTTATGGCTGATGTACTTTTTATCTCTACCCGTGTTTATGTGTTAGTTTAGTTATAAAGATTACCCTGTTCAGCCGTTAAGAAGGCAATAATTGGGCTCCTTAACCACGTGAAGACTTCCGTTATGATCAAATTATAGTTAATTATACTAAGAAAACACTATATTCCAGATACATATGTATTTTGTTGAAGTAATAGAATATATTGAGTGGATTTTTATCATGGTATGAGGTGTCGCAGGATGGCTGTCCTGGGAAAGTAAAGACGGCCGGCATAATGCTGACCACATTACCCATCCTTCAAATATAGGGCGCTCTTCCTATATACCCAATGCGTCTAAGGCGTGAAAGGGAATCTTTACTTTACCTTAATAGAATATATTATTATTATTAATTTTATTATGATTTCAGAGCTCATTTTTATATACCTATTAAGGTTGTTTATTTCAATGCTTTTTTTAACGATTTTTTGTGTGAACCTAGGTATGTGTATAAGCTTACCTGATTGTGTATTTCCCGTGTTTGCTTAACTGCCGTTTTAAATTTTCAGAAAAGTTTAATTTTTTTTAAACATGGCCCGTTTTGCCCTGGTATTTTGTTGAGTGATGGAGACTACAGTTTTGAGGATACATCATGTGACTTTATTTCCTCTGTGGGCGGCGACTATTCTTTGAGTGTAATTCCTATCCTTAGTACAACCCAGCATAAGTTATGTCCAAAGATAGTGTTGCTGGTGTGCTATATGTATGCATAATCATCACTATCATCATCATGCTTCGTGTGTCGTTAGACGTCTAATCATCATCATCAGGTGCCTTGCCGACTGGCGCAGGCGATCATGCCTCTCCACAAACTGCGATTTCCTGCAGCATGCATCAGTTCGTGTGCCGACACACCTCCATGCCATGCAACAAGACTGTCAAGAATCTTCTCTGGTTGTCTTCTTCTATCCCTCCTTTCACAGATGAGTTATGAGTTGTGAGTTATATTTTTTTTACAGCATTCCGGACACATCCATAGGCGCTCAGATTCCCCTCTCAACATATTCATCTGCGTCGCGCGGTTAAAAGTGCCAGTCCTATGTTGGTTAACAAGATGTCGTTTGCGTCCGATGTGCTTCTCATGCTTGGCTGTGCCAATCTTTACTCCCAATTCGCGTATTCTTAGCAGTGATCTGGATACGTTGCTTCCAAAAAGATCTTCCACAGATCTTTCCAATGGTCACAACATGTTCTATTTTACCTCTTCTCATTACATGGCCGAAAAATGATGACTGTCTCCTTTTGATGTCTGTGATAAATTTGGCTCTTTTTGGCTGTTCAAGGTATTGTAAGCATTCTTCTGTAAAAACCACATCTCTGAGGCCTCCAGAAAATGTTTGGCCTGCCTACCGATTGTCCAGGATTCACAGCCATATGCTAAAACCGGATGTATGTAGCAAGCAAGAATTCTTTTTATCACTCTTAGTTACAAAGATATTTTGCACAAGATGTTCTTCATTTAATGAAACGCATTTTTTGCCTGTCCTGTTCTGTTTCTTATCTCAGTTATGCATCTTCCATCTGATGTTATCCGTGTGCCCAGATACTTAAATTTCTGTACTGCTCCTAAAATAACACCATTGACTTCTATTACACATTTAGGAATAATTCTTTTCTTTGATACCACCATACTTCTGTCTTCCCATTATTCAAACTGAGACCCATTCTTCCACTTTCTAACACCACAATGTCTATCATTTCCTGTAGTTCTTTCTGACTTATTGCTATGAAGACTGTGTCATCAGCATAACGTATATTGTTTATATTGTGCCCATCAACCACAATTCCGGGCAAATCAATTTAAGATCTCATTATATATTCACTGTATAGTGAAAACAAATCAGGTGACAGCACACATCCTTGTCGTACGCCCCTCTTGAACTGAGCCGCAACGTCTGATACGGCTCAGATTAGATTCCTCCACTTCGCTCAATTGCATATAACTCTTTCGGTTTCTGACATTTAGCTCAGTCCAACGGTTTTAGATTCTCTTAATAATGTTCTTCCTAATGTTTCTCTTTTACGTACTCATTTTCTTTAGACCGTTTGTTTCCCATTTTAGTTAAAAACATACTGAAGCACATTGAAACGAACCGTCTGTTTAATTCAGGAACAGAACGGGAAATGTAAATATAAACGTTTACAAGTTAGCATATTTGAAATCTGTATTCCTTTTTCTTTGAATCCATGCTAGTTATTCATTTGTACTTTTGATAGTTGTGAATGTCAACGCATTCTGTGCAGGCAACGAATTAAAAAAAAAAATATGTGCACAATCTTCTTGTGTGTCCACCGTGTGATTGCAGACCGGCTGGCAATGGCTGCCCATTGAAGGCACCAGTCTGAAAAAAGTTCCGAGGAATATTATTATTTTCTGATTCACTTCTAAGCTTTGAATATAACGAGAATGTTGTCATGTTATTATGTTCTTATTCACTTCTAAGCTTTGGATATAACGAGAATGGTGTCATGTTATTATGTTCTGATTCACTTCTAAGCTTTGAATATAACGAGAATGGTGTCATGTTATTATGTGCTGATTCACTTCTAAGCTTGGAATGTAACGAGAATGTTGTCATGTTATTATGTTCTGATTCACTTCTAAGCTTGGAATATAACGAGAATGGTGTCATGTTATTATGTGCTGATTCACTTCTAAGCTTGGAATATAACGAGAATGGTGTCATGTTATTATGTTCTGATTCACTTCTAAGCTTGGAATATAACGAGAATGGTGTCATGTTATTATGTGCTGATTCACTTCTAAGCTTGGAATGTAACGAGAATGTTGTCATGTTATTATGTTCTGATTCTCTTCTAGACTGTGAATGCAATAAGTATGATGTAATATTAATGTTTTCTGATTCACCTCTAGGCTTAAAATATAATGAGAATGTTGTCATGTTATTACGTTCTGATTCTCTTCTAGATTGGGAATGCAATAAGTGTTTTGTCATGCTAATGTTTTCTGATTCACCTCTAGGCTTGGAGTATAACGAGTATGTTGTCATGTTATTGTGTTCTGATTCTCTTCTAGGCCGGGAATATAACGAGTATGTTGTCATAATAATGTTTTCTATTTTTTTTCTAGACTAGGAATATAACGAGTATATTGTCATGGTAATGCTTTCTATTCTCTTCTAGACTGGAAATATTTAAAGTATGTTGTCATATTAATGTTTTCTATTATCTTCTAGACTGGAAATATAACAAGTATGTTGTCATATTAATGTTATCTATTATCTTCTAGACTGGAAATATAACGAATATGGTGTCATATTAATGTTTTCTATTCTCTTCTAGACTGGAAATATAACCAGTATGTTGTCATATTAATGTTTTCTATTATCTTCTAGACTGGAAATATAACCAGTATGTTGTCATATTAATGTTTTCTATTATCTTCTAGACTGGAAATATAACGAATATGGTGTCATATTAATGTTTTCTATTATCTTCTAGACTGGAAATATAACGAGCATGTTGTCATGTTAATGTTTTCTATTCTCTTCTAGACGGGGAATATAACGAGCATACCTAATGGAAGCCTACCTCCTGGTCTTGAGGCTCTTGCAATCAGTCGCAACCCAGTTACCGAGATAGCAGACGATGTATTTATCAACTCGGCCACAACTTTGACAGAATTAGACCTCTCAGGTTTAAAACTGCGGCAGTTACCATACGCATTGCTCAGGCTGACCAATTTATCCGCGCTGGACATAGAGAACACACCAATAGGGATATTGCAGGAAGATGTGCTTCAGAACATAACCATGACTCTAACATATCTTAGATTAGAAAACGTCAGTTTACTTGCCTGGCCCAGAGCAATATCTTACCTTCGTTTTCTGACCGGGCTCAATTTAAACGGCAACTCCTTAAAAATATTCCACAGGACGCTTTCATTTCGTCTAATTCATTACGAGACCTAAGTCTGGTTAATACTGATCTAACACACGTACCGAAAGCTCTGTCATCTTTATCATCCCTACAATCTCTTGACCTCAGTGGCAACAAGTTCCTGGATATCCATGAATTTGATTCAGTCTTCCTGTATGGCTCAAAACTTCACAAACTGACTATCAATTTTGCTGGGTTGACTAAAATAGCTAATTTCTCAAGTTTGACAAATCTGGGTGTCATTTATTTAAACAACAACAACATATCAGATCTGACTACAGGTTTATTGCCACCATCGGTGACAGGATTGTACCTAGTTTCTAATAATCTTTCTTCAGTACCAACTGGTGTCGTTAATATGTCGAGGCTTTTTGTTTTAGATCTAGGAAAGAACCAGATATCCAGGATTGAACCCGGTACTTTCCCCCCAAGTTTGAATTCGCTAAGTGTGAGTTACAACCAGATCACAGAAATTAACCCTGCAGATTTCCCTTCCAGTTTATCATATCTACTTTTAGGATTTAACCAGATAAAAGAGATTCAATCGCAACCTTTCCCGACTAACCTGATTTCCTTAGACCTGAGCCACAATGAGATCACACGCGTCAACACTTCTAACCTTCCTGTAAATCTGAGTACCCTAGATTTGAGCTTTAACAAAATAAATGAGATTGTCCCAGATAACTTTAACCCCGGTCTCGTTCGCCTGTACTTGAGTAACAATAACCTGAGTTCTGTTTCAAACACAACGTTCCAGAACCTAACGCGATTGGTCGATCTACAATTAGACAACAACCCAATCTCAATCATCCCCGAGCTGGCTTTCACTGACCTCAAATCTCTGACCAGTCTTTACCTGGACTCCACAAACCTGACAGAAATCCCCTCGGCGATAGGAGACATTTCACAAATCGGTGATTTTAGCGGAACAGTGAGTCTAACGAACATCGCCTCAATGTATTGTCCTTGTCCTCAACCTATTAAACTAGTCAACTGGCTCCAGGACGGCACAAACATTCTAGGCTACTGCAGCAACGGATTCAGCATTTCCCGATACCTCTATACCAAATGTGAAACAGAAACATCATCGACTGTAGCACAAACTACAACACCAGCTGGTAACGCCTCTGTGCTGGCACTTAGTTTATTGTCGGTATACGGGGCTTTGTTTGTGCTTTTGTTCATAAATCTCTTTAACATTTCCATGCAGTAAATATCTCAAGGATATTGAGCAGCAGTAAATAACAAATAAAGTCATACATTATAATGAATAAAATAACACATAACTACCTTATTAGACTTGGATACCCTATTTTAATTGTGTATTCCCGACATAAGGAAGTGAATCATAGACAGTCTGTTGATTAGTAACAACTTTTTTTAAGCTGCACAAATGTGGTTTATAGAACAATAACGATAACAAATGACGAGAAAAGAGTTATATGGTAAGCATGTCGTAAGAAGGGGAACTGAGAAGTGAAAGAACCTTATATTGTCAAAGCAGCAGTTTTCAAAGTAGACTCCACTATCTGCCTATATATTAGATAGTACAAGACAGTCTCCGCCTAGTGCACGAACTTCGTTGCAATAGTGAAGATCTAGATCTACATGTTTGTTCAACGGGAAAACTGTAGTGACAGTTTCAGAGAATAAGGAGCAGACAGAGATGGAGAGAATTTATATGGAAAGTTTGGCATCAATGCATGAAAGAAACATACGAGGGGAACTTAATAAGTGAGCCACCAAATGTTAGGGAATGGCAAGAGACTAGTTGGTGGTTTATAATTGTGTCCATAGGTGACAGCAACATCGAACTTTATGTCTTTGTTCGTTAGGTGGCGCTTGGTGTTGCATACGCATGCGCAACTTAGAAACACAATGGTGACTGTACTTACGGAGTGTCCCCTAAAAAAACAACGTCTGTTATACTTTGGGGAGGGGGGTGGAGGTGGGGTGGGCCAAAAGGTTGCCTGCAAAGGACATCCATAAGATGCTTTCTGTTTATGCTGACAAATGTTTTCCGGTAAAGTGTGCATAGCTAGGTAAAGAATTTTTCTCAAGACCTCTCTACGATTGTTTATGAAGTCCGATCTGGTCGTCCCTGTTGAAATTGCAACATACGGATCTGTGCAGCGGGTGGAGGAGATGATTAGAGGTGACAGTCGAGTAACGTTGACTCTGTAGCAGCTGCAATAGGGTGCTCACATGGTTTTTGGTTCTCTAAAAACCCACCTACGCGGGGGACATTTCATATGCAGCATATTTCGGAGGACTGATAAAGCGATGGGACAAGTGCATCAGTGCTTGTGGAAATTATGTTGAAAAAAAAAGAAACAGCGTATGTGAAAAAATAAACGGTTTTCAATTTGTTATAGCCTTTTATATATATATATATATATATATATATATATATATATATATATATATATATATATACATATATATATATATATATACACACACACACACACACATTAACCATTTGTGACTTTATTGACTTACCCTCGTATGTATTAGAAATGACTGACAGGACACGAAAGGCAAGGCTGTGGACAATAATGGTTGAAAACGCCACACCCCAGGCTCTATAAGAAGGTAAACCTTCTTAGCTTTGTTGAAATCCTTTGCAGATTTCCACGTTCTAGCTTGGTGCAATTTCATGCTTAAGATGTCCATTTAAAGTCGAAAGGATCGACTTCGTTGCTCCTGACTTAAAGAGGACAGGAATGCAACAAAGCCAAAAAGAAAACTGCTTAACCTAGAAGTCTAGCGATCTCTCTAACAAACCTCTACACCCCAGGGTAGAAGGGAATCCATTATTTAAGCAAGTGGCCAGACTAGAGGACTGTGCAGGAAAACAAAGAAAAATGTAATAAACGAACACAGATCTATGTGGGATAGCTGGCGATCCGAACACTTATGGATTGATTGGTACGATTTGTAGCGACATGTCGACTACATTACTATTCTTATCATACATGTGATATCATTGTTTGTTTTTGTTTGTTTTAGTATCCAGAAGCCATGAGTTGTTAACCATTAGGCTCGGTATTATGGATATTGCA